CCGTACCCCAAGCAGAATGGACAAAACATCCGCTGAATCCCCTTCTGCTTCTGCTGCCTCACCCTTCACCCACACTGGTTCGTCCTTAGAAAGTATTGGTCCCTATGGGAGCAAGTACAATCCAAGAATCATCGAAGTGAATCTGGCCCAGGCAGAACGTCATGAACGTTTTGACGTGAAGATCAATCGCAAGCGAGTGTGCGATGGATTTGCTTGGAAAACCTTGCACATCAAGACACCCATTGGATGCCATGACGAAAAGATTTGGCAAGCTTTCATGGATACAAGTGACTCTTCCGAGCATCGTTCATTCTACATTCAAGGGCCATCTTGGGATTGCCACTATGCCGCTGCAAGCAACCGCAAGGTCAATAGTGATGCCACTGAAATCCTTGATGCGGATTACAATGCTGACAGCAACATTAGCAAAGATCCTGCCCGCCACGACATGTTCTGGAAGTTCGTGCTTCCAAAAGGTTGGGAGCTAGACAACTTGGCCTTGTCTCGTGACCACCACGAGATCAAGTCCAACAGTTTCGTTGTTGGTGAAAAAGTTGGAACCTTTGAATTCAACACTCTCTAGATTGAATGGGAAATTGCCAAAAAAGATGGATGTTTCAAGATTGCTGATTCTCGAAGCAAGGACGAGGACATCAACACCCGCATGGAGGCCCTTTTCAAAAACGAGGAGTAGTTGCCACGGTAATACAGCTACACTTGTTTACAAGCCAGTTGTAGAGATGCCTAAAAAGTAATTACTATTTAGATGTCTTTATTTATTCAAAGTTTTGTTGCATACTAGCTATGCATATTCAAGAGTTACCTCGTACTACAGATCCGAAACCGGTTGATCTACTGGTTAAAGCTACAGTTGCTAGAGCCTACCATTATAATAGTCCTTGTCCTCGTTTGCCTTCCATATCTTTTCATCATTTCCAGTTTTGCCGGAAGCAGATCTCTTGTTACTATTCGTTTCCATTGCGTTTAGGATTGCACCCCTCTCTTCAATCGCCGCCTTGACTTCCTGCTCCATCCCACTGATCATCGAGCTAATTTCCTTTTCATTAGCATCTGTTGAACGAGAAGAATATAAAGATATGAGATTGGTATAATGGGCGTCTACAGTAGTTGAAACAATAACTACAAAACTAACCGGGGTATTGAATGTTGCGACAAATTGCATAGGCTCCGCGAGACTCCTGGAGCTTGAAAGCATCTTCTAAGTGCTCGGCCATCACTTTAACCATTTTGCCTTGTTTCTGGCGGGCACCTATGCACTGGGCCATTTGACGGGTTACGCATACGAGGTTTTTCTTGATTCCTGGGCGTTGACGAAGGACAGCCTTGGTGTAGTTATGGGGACTTGCGTTGGGGTCAAAACCTTGAAAAGAGCTCTTCCAGATGGTTGATTGCACGAGTCCCTTTCCTTTACGGAGACGGACAATGACAGGTGCTGTATCTGTTCCTTTGTTCACATGTCATGTCTGCGAATTATCCATCCAAGCTTCATGGCCAGCATATTTTCCAGCAAAAATCTGGATCATCTCGCCTTTGAGAGCGTGTAAATCTACCATCTTTTATCTTATGATGATTGTTGCATGGTATTTTTCCTCCGTCGTGCTGGGTATGTGTACTTGTTGACAATGAAACGGAGTTGTTGGTGTTTTCAACATGAAAGTATTTGAAATTCTCTCGGTCATCGCTAATGTTGAAACGAAGGGTCGGCGTGCGCGCAAAGGTAGATTTTGTTGTAGATTTTGTCGTAAATTTTGTCGTAGTGTTGTCGTAATTTGTTGTAGGTTTGTCGTAATTTGTGGTAGCTTGTCGTAAGTTGTCGTAAGTTGTCGTAAATATTTTACGACAAAATTTACAACAAAATTTACGACAAAATTTACGACAAAAGACTTGTCGTTAATTATAGCTCCACTGTTTCGGAGAAATAAAACAATGTTTTCCCCCTAAATAATTCTATGTCCCCGTAAATGATGGAGGAATTCGATGGAACAAAGTGGAGCTTGAATTCGATGCCTCCGTGCTGAGGGGGGAGGAAAGTCTGTCTGTCTCCCGTCACACTTTGGTTCGCCAAGCCCATGATCAGATGGCCAAAGTAACCCGGATATACAAAGTGATGGTTGACACTACAAAATCGTTAACCCCGAGTGAGTCATTCAACACTATACAGCACTTGTTTTCACCAGCTTCCTCATAGCGAACAACAAACGAAACCGAGAGCTTGCAACAAAGCATAGATTGATGATGAAAGCAGTTGGCAATTATGATGTGTTTTTCTACTAATCCAACGGAGCGAAGCCACAGCGGCGGCAAGAACGAGCGACAAGTCAGACCCCAAAACCGAGTCATCAAATGATAAAGAAGACAAGATTGGAACTGAAGCATAGGAAGAAACATAGGTCTCGCCAACAATCTACCGCCACTGCTGAAATGAACGAGCTGGATACTGGAGTCGGTGTTGCCCGCAAGGGGAATAATTGTGTTTTACCATCTCCTTTCTTGTTGGCTTCAACAATCAGCATGGGCGCTGTCGTCCACTGTAAAGGCTGAACGAAATGAGAGCATCTGAATTTCAAGGCAACGAAGCGGATGAAGGCAAACTCTTCCCAGTAAATGCAATGAGGTTGTTTTGTCATCTTCTAGCTGGCTTCTTGCAAATCAGCATTGGCGTTCTCGTCAAGTGGTCAGAGCGAAAGAAATGAGAACTGGGCTTTGATGCAAACTGTGTGAGATATTAGGGAAGTGCAGCATATGAAGGCAATTTCGACTGTAGCTGAATGAAAAGAAAGGTTTCAGGGGCAGGAGCAGCAGCAATTGCTTCTTGGCGACAATTCCTCTCCAATGATTGATACACCTACGAACCAGCATGCCTCCTCCAAGGAGCGCTGAAAGAAGATACATGGAGGAGTAATGAGGAGTGTGACTGCTTGTACAGCGACTCGCCTGGCAAATCAAAGATGAGATGATGGCTGCTGAAAGATTGCTGTGCAGCACTGGTTGTTCCATCAGGAGTAAGAATGAGCAGGTTTCCAGTTATATCTAGGCAGCGATTTCCCCCTATGCCATCCCAGAACTAAGTAAAATACAAAATATTAACATTCTAGTACAAAATTCAATCTAGTTCTAAGCCGGTATAGAGTGTGATTGTCATGGTAGTCAGAGTTTTGGTGTTTGACAATCGTCGTCTGCACTGCGTTCACACAAGGGTCTGTTTAACGTGGAAGTACTTCGATAGGTCCAAATCCACGTTAAACACATCACGTTAAACACGGTAATAGCACCGCACCGTTGCCGGAAGTTTGGAGAGCTTTCTTTTATGGAAGCAAAACAGGACATTTTATCCTTTTTGACACTCTGTGTTGAATCGATACGGAGGTCTAGGGAAAGAGCAACGCGAATCTTATTGGAATCTGTGAATGTTTCCAGATCTTAAGGCAATTCGGTTAAGAGTCGCTCATGTCGTTTCATAATTGGTGGCTAGATATTGTCCTAGCCCACGCAGGCTTCCGGGTTCGGATCGGGGCGAGACTCAAGTCTTAAACTCTTTGAGTAGGTACTCAATGCGTTTTCGAACTTGAAGTCTCCACAAGATGTAAAGTCCTGCGTCCTTTTCTTTCCCCTGGGCGGGTGGGTGGGAGTTAAAAATTTTCTACCTATTGCTGGAGTCTGGATGTGTTTTGCTCAAGTTCCAAGTTGGACTGATTTGTGTGCCTTTTGGTGGAGCTCAAGCCACTCAATTCGGTCATTTCTCGCTGGCACATCCAGTCTCGTAGCTTCTTACGTGCGGCGGTCCTCGCATGCCTCGGGCCGCCGGAATAAGGAATTCTTCTTCTTCATTTCTTTCAAAACCTTTCTATACGGTCGGTTGGGTAGAGTTCAGGTTAAGAGTCGTTCATGTCGTTTCATAATTGGTGGCTAGATATTGTCCTAGCCCACGCAGGCTTCCGGGTTCGGATCGGGGCGAGACTCAAGTCTTAAACTCTTTGAGTAGGTACTCAATGCGTTTTCGAACTTGAAGTCTCCACAAGATGTAAAGTCCTGCGTCCTTTTCTTTCCCCCCTGCCTATTCTCTTGTGAATGACTCCAAACTGTTCTCCTTCCCCCCCGGCAGCTGTCGTTAATGACAGTACAAAGTAATCTTGACTCGTTCACGAGGCGTCCACTCACGCTAACTTGTTCCTACTTTTTCGTTGGCTCGGCGATAGCGCCAACGCCCATGTTCGTAGACCTGGGTTTCCGAGGCAATTGTGAGGCGTTTACCATCATAGGATTCTCCGCGGGAGACGTGACTGCGGCCACCGTGACGGAATGTGTGGAGAGACCAGAATCGGCTTTCAATGGTGTTGGATATGGATCCATCGAAAGGTAATAGAAGCGGGTCGCCCTCCAAACGCTGCTTTTTGAGACTTGGATAGAGATAGGTAGTCCGGAAGAAATGAGAGGTCCAAACTGTGCCATTTGCATGGCAGAAAACGGGCCCTGTACGTCGGGCCCGGTACGTTTGCGCTCTGTGGAACCACTTCCCGATACAGTAGCCTGATCGAGTAGTGTATGCGATGATAACATCAGCAGTTCGAGTGCGCTCCGACTTAGTGACAGGGTTGAGTCGGAAAGTGACCATACCACAGTTACGTGGGAGGTCAGCTTGTGCATAGTCTTCACGTTCCAAAATGGAACAATCTTCCCAGTTGATACCAAAACATTCAGCAGAGCGGAGCCACCCAGGCCAGAGAGTGAGAGTTGTGAGGCCAGCAAGCGAGATGTCGCGCCTTTGTGTCTCTGTAGTTGCTTCTGCAAATTGGTTTTCCAATGAGTTCATCAAGTAACGAATATGGCGGTCCAACAAGGCTACTGATGGCCGAGAGTAGTCGCCCATTCGTGTCACCATTCCTTTTGCAAAGAGATGAAATGTAAGGTTGTCTGTTGGCCGGCAATCTTGGTAGAGAACCTTCTTGTCTTGTGACATGTAGGCGTTCTGCGGCGTATTGAGCGACTCAAGGGCAAACCATTGTGATGCAGCTGAACGCAGAGCGCGAACAGAGTTGAAACTGATGGGTGTTTGAACATCTTTGTCGTATTTCCTTGTGGAGTGACGAAGACTGTACCGCTCTTGGCACCACATCAGAGAGATATCTGGTCCAGATGGAGGCTCCATGAGATTGGATGGGCGAAGAACTGTGAGGGCAAACTCCTTTTTGAAATCATGAATGACTTTCAGCTTAGATTTGTAGGTGACATGAGTTCCCTTTGCCCAAGACGAGATGATGTCTAGGAGCCGGACCCGTTCCAACATTAACAAAATAACATCATCAACTTTGACAAGTTCTCGCTGTAGGTATTGACGGACCGTACAGGCTTCACACACGAAATTCGGCCAGTTTGCTTGCTTTGGGAATGTAAGGCCCTCACCTCAAAGTCGGCGGGTGGTGAAAGGAACCCCAGCTCGAAAACATTCCCGGTGGTAGCAAGTCCCGCAGGGCCGGAATTTCCCGAATCCTGAAGTGGAAAAGGAGCATTGGAGGCAAAACTCAATGGCTTTCTTGGTGAATCCCGTCAGGCAGCCGGCGCATAAGTGTGGCTTGGGCTGCATGCCAAGAGGGGGCGGTAGTGGGAGTTTTGTCCAACCTTGATGGAGTCAGCGAGAGTGTGTGAGGTGCAATGTGTAGAACAACAATTGGAATAGGAAGGAGAGGTGGAAAGCGTAGCTGTGTTTGGTGGGGGTAGATGGTGCCGATCTCTTCGATGTAGCGGGACATGTGGCGCCAGGAAGCTTCAACTACTCGAGGCACAAAGAGGAGTGCTGAAGTAGTGAATGGACATTCGACCCAAGAGTTGAGTAAGAAGGTCAGGAGTTGCCGGGCCAGTTCAGGTGGCGGGCACCATACTGTTGTTTGGTGCAAACAGAGGTCCGCTGTCCATTGTTGGTTCCAGGAACGGTATTGGGCCATATGTGCCAGATGAGGCAGGTGTTGCCAAACCAAAGTCCAGTCCAGTGGCATGGGATCGAAGATTGCTTGTGTCAGTCGATCTGAGTCCATGATGTCTTGTAGAGTTGACATCCAAACTCCTCGACTAAGTCCATCAGTGCCTTGCGTGATCAAAACTTGGCCTGGGACGTGTATCACCTGGAGGACACATTGAAGATCAAGTTCCAGCAGTCTGATCTCGCTGAGCAACTGGTGAAGATCTCGCCGCTTGGAGGAACCAGTAGTAGCAATCCAATATACTCCAGAGTTGTCAGTGAAGTAGAAGACGGTCGTGCCAATGACGAGGTGGGCTTGGGGGCTCTCTTTGATCCGAAGAAGGGTCTCTTTCAGTGTCGCCAGTTCTTTCCAAACGGAGGCAAAAATGTAGACCGCCGGTTTCCATTTCCCGCGCCACATTTCAAAGTCACAGTTAGGTAGTTGGAGGGTCCCACCGGTGCCAGTGCCGCTACCATCACCAAAGGTTGGGACAAGGGTAGCTGCTTCCCATCCTCTGACAAATCTCCCTTCACTCCGTAGTAGGAACTGTTTCCACCACTTTAGTTCATCAAGTACTCGGGAATTGAGGCATGTCGTTGTGTAGTAAGGCTCCGCGCCGATCCCAAGTCCAGGTGGGTGGACTAGTGTGTGAAATTCCTTCAGATGGGTGTGGCCAAGCCGACGGGGTGTTGCTTCGGTCAGTGACTCAAGAACTCCCACCGCAACAGCAAGACTCAATCGTGACCACTTCTTGTGAGTTGGTGACTGGAGTAGGTATTCGCAGATGGCCAGGGCTCGGTCCTTTTTGGATTCCGGGATTCGTAGGCATGGAATGTCGGTAGTGTCGAACAGGAAGCCACAGTATTTGACCACTTGTTGAGGTGGAACCAATTTCTTTGGGTGGAAAAGGAAACCACAGTCAACGGCTGTGTCAAGGAAGAATGCCAGAGCTCGAGTGGTCTTCTCATGGGAGGGTCCATGGATAAGGAAGTCATCAACCCAAACCCAGATGTGCACAGCTCCTCCATCGGCCGAAGTAAGAATGAATCCGTATCCAAGTTTCGGATTGAATCCGTTGTTCTGGAAGCCGGTCCAGTAGCAGTTGGCCTTGGCTTCTCCTTGGAAGACATCAAACTTTTCTTTCACCAAACGTACAAAGGCCAATCCAATTCGGCATACAATGGCTGGGCTGTTTCCAGCTCCCATTGCAAGCCCGTAGTATGTCAACAGCTCCTCGGTTTTTGGGTGTAGAAGGCCAAGATACGGCCGGTCTTCTGGGTGTGTTGGAAAGTTGTAGAAGAACTTGGACAGGTCCACAACTGCAGAGAATCCGCCAGTGTACATTTGGTCGACGATGTGGGCAATCCTTGGCATGAAGACCGGATCTTGTCCCACACAATTTTTCTGGCCGCCGCGTAGCATGTCCGCAATGACTCTCCACTCGCCAGGCTGTCCGTCTTTGCCGACCACAAAAAGTGGCGCATTGGTGAGGACTTTGAGGCCCTCATCAATGTGTCTCAGCACTCCAAGTTCAACAAGCTCATCCACAAACTGGACGGCGGCTTCCAACATCTCTTCATCCATTGGGGCATTTGGTCGAATGTGGGGCTCCGGTCTCTCCAAAAAATTCTGTCTAGCGCCAGTTCGGAGTTCCTCCCAGTGCTCAGATGGAAATTCCCACCATAGCAGTTGAAGCCATTTTGGGGAAGGTCCGTCTTTGTTGTAGTTCTGTCGATGCACAGCCAACCGATGAAGGCCATCATCAAAGATGTCCTTGGGCTCTGGATAGTGTTCTGAAGCCCATCGGAGGTTGGATATGCGTTGCTGGTGCCAAGTCCCTCCTGGAGATAGATCTGCCGGAACCCAATCAAACTCCTTGTAGGTCGTGGGTCCAGCAGGTGATGAAGCCTCGTTGCCGGGTCCATCCTCAGCCGGTGTAGGTCTTGATTCCAAAGCAGGCTTGGGGAACAGATGTTGGAGGGAATGTGAGAGGTATTCCCAATAAAACAACGATGTGGTTTGTTGCAAGCTTTTCTTGGACAAGTTCATTTCTGGGCCTTTCGGTATTCCTCCTTCAAAAGTCTCCAAACTCCTTTTTCAGTGCGAATGTATGCTCCTATTTGGTTGGGCATAGGGTCGTGTAGTGAATACAGAGTGTGGTTGGTGCCGTTGTTAGAGTAGGAGCCTCTTGGTACCAAACCGGGTGGTGTGAGTAGATTTCCCATGGGTCAAATCACAGCTAGATCTCTGTCCAGGTTGTCCCACACCCATTGTGCTCCAATGTCAGCTCGAGTGCGGGCCCCTAGGAGTCTCTCTTGGTTGATGGCTCCAACGATGGAAGTTGCGTTGATAGTTCGGCAATTGACGTAGTAGCCAATGTCTCTCCATCTGGTGGTGGTTGCCTTGCTGGTTGGGCCATATTGCCATAGAGTTGGATCAGAGCGCCAACATTCAATGATGAGTTTTGGTCGCTTTTCGGGAGGCACGGACTCCACCATGTCCTCCCATGGTTCTTGACGGGGGCTACTGGGTTGCTTGTAGTTACCTCGCTCGATCACCAACAAATCCACTGGGTAAGTGTTTAGGAGCCCCTTCCAAGGTCGGTGGGGTCCAAGAGCACCACCGGTGGGTCTTCCAAGTCTGACGGTACCGTCTCACCATTCTCTCGGATGGAGAAGGATACAGTCATCTTGGGCCATGCATATCGCATGACTTCACATCCACTTCCAATAATTCCCATGTTCTCAATCCCGATCGCTTCCACAGTAGCTACCCTTCGAATTTCCACCCCCACAGTCACGCTTTCTTCTTCCTCGCAGACACATTGTTTCTCACCTTTGAAAGTTCAGATAAAGGTACGAACAAAAGTCAGTTATAACAGATTAAATAATATGACGACTTGTCACAAGTGAAGTGGTGGTAGTGGCGGTTGGGTTTCAGAGTGCAGCTCGTAGTGTGATGTTGGTTGCTTCAGGGGTGGTTCCGATGTGTGATGTGCATTTTGATGGGGTCCAGAGTCTGCTTGAAGAATCAGCATCTCCGGTAGGGGGACTCCAGAGTCCGTACTGGGGTAGCATCTCTGGCAATGGGTCCCAGAGTCTACTACAAGGGTAGCATCTCCGGCTTTGGTGTTTGGCGAATAGGTCTAGGACTTTGCCCAACTCTCGGACACCTCCTTGATAACTTCTTCCATAGGACGCGTTTTCTCGCCCTTGTTGTTGTTCGCATATTTGGCTGCTACCTTTCCAGCTGCAGCCTTGGCCCAAGATCCGGCTTTGTCCTTCAGAGGACAAACAGTCTTGATGTGCTCTAGTCCAGCGGCAATGTGTAGGTCGCGGTTTTTGCAGTGGGAGCATTTCTTCGGTGAAGAGTCTTGGTCCTTGTGTGGGTTGCCTCTGCCTTCTTTAGGGCCTCCTTTGATAGCCTTGACTGCTTCGAGCTCATCGCGTAGTCGTTGGTTTCTTCGGTCTTGGCGTTCAAAATTCTTCTCAGTGATGGTGTCGTTGACGAAGCCCTTCTTCTTGGCATCGCAAAGATAGGCATAGTTCTGAAGTAGGAGCATCTTCTTGGAGTTGCAGTTGGTCCGAATGTCCAGTAGATTTGCGGAGTGGACCTTTAGGATGACCAAGGCTTTGGAGTCTTCCCATGGATCCGCTGTGGCGTTCCATTTGAACATGATCTTGCCGATCAGGGCAGTTGTTGAAGATGACGTCCTCTTTCTTGTAGCACTGCTTGTAGGCGTCCAGGAGGGTGTCTTCGGAGGTGATCAGACCCAATCCATGACGGTTGCGTCTACCATATCTCGAATCAAGCATTGTAATCTTGGAGTTGTCGGAGCCCAAAGTCTCCGCGAGTCGAGTCAGCACATCTTCGCTAACTCCGCTACCACTTTCACTGTCTCCTCCACCGGGTGAAGTCTTACCTGGTAACGCCGCAATATCATCCGCTCTATCATAGGTACCGTTGATCTCCTTATTTTTGGTCATGGCCTCCGGCATCATTGCCTTATCAATCTCAACACTGGTGATTTCGATCTCATGGATCTTGTCACTGTCACCCTTGGATCCATCTTGTTGGTAGGTAGGAATGGGCCCTTGGTAGGTAGTAGGTCTGGTCGGTGTAATTACTGCTGGTGGTGTTTGGGTAGGTAGAGTGGGAGGAGCTGGTCCGTTTCCCTCGATTGTCATGGCATTGTAGTGGCCGTTGGCGGTAGGTAGGTTGGTAGATCCCATGGGAATCATATTAGGAGTTCCAGTAGTTGAAGGGGTTTGGTTCTCTTGTAGGGCCTGCTGCTCCATCATGCGATCCATCTTCTCTGTGGATTCCTGGAGCTTGATGAAGAATGGTTGGATCTTCAGTAGCACCGTGTCGAGGACAGATGGTACGGTAGTGGTGATGGCTGACAGTTCTGGGTCCAATTTTCTCGCGGTGGCGGCAGTTGGCTTGGAAGGGGATTTGGAAGTGTTGTTGCCCTCTTTGATAGACACTTGTTTAGGAGGAGGCTTGTTCTTCCTCAACTTCTTCTTTCTGGCGATTGGGGTTTGTTTGCGGGCTGTTGCTTGAGCCTTCTTCTTGCTGGGAGTGGCCTGCTTCCCTTTGCGGGCCGGTTTCTTCTTGGGCGACTCAGCTTCTAGTTTAGCACGTTCCGCCTTCAGCCTCAACAGTTGGGTCTCTCTTTCCATCAGAGCGATCTTATCGTTCAGCTCTTGGAGAGCATCGGCCTTGGGATCCTCGTTGAGGTGGCCTTCTATCTCTCCCTCACTGGCTTCAAAATCTGTTGCTTCAAAGTCTGTTTCTTCGCGGTCAGTGTCCTCGGGTCCCTCTTCATCTTCAGAAGGAGACTCCTCGTTGTCTAATCCTGTTGCCCGGTTGAGGCTCTCGTCCATTCTCTCTTCAGATCGGCTGAAACCATCCTGTTGACCGTGGATGATGTAATCCCCAGTGTTGGTGTTCTTGTCCTTGGTGGAGACAATTCCCTCATGCCACATAGGTTTGGCCCGGTGTCCTTCTTCTCTCAAGACGCGGTGCAGACGGCACTTGGTCTTGAGTTTCCCACAGATAATCCGGTCCTTCTTACTATTGGAGGTCGGTCCTTTGCATACGGCCCAGCAATGTTCATGAGTGAGATGGACCCATGCACTGAGTGGGACCTCTCTTTCCTCTTCTTCTGCTGACTCTTCGGCTTCTGCCTCTGTGTCTTCTGGTGCAGTGTCTTCTGGCTCTGTGTCTGGCGTTGGTCCTCTTGGGTTTCTGTTGGGTCCTCCATCTGACAATGTTGCATCATGGTCGGAATTGAAATCTTGCTCCTCGTTGTCACCATCACTTTCGGCAGATCTGGTTTGAATCTGGCGATACTTTGCCGGGCGTGACATGGGCGCTGCTGACGCTGTTCTCGTCAAATGAGAATGACAAGACCGGCTAGAGGCCCTGCTGGCTCTAGCGCTGGATGCGTCGGAATGTACAGTCTCTACTGGTACAGTAGTACCACGGCCTGTCCGTTCAGTGTTTGGCGAGAAGATACTTGTGAGGAATCCGGGTATACTTGTCATGGCAGGTGGTGGCACTCCTCGGTTCAACTGGTACTAGAATCTTGTCTAAAAATCACTCTCTCCCCCCTAGCAGTTAAAAATTTTCTACCTATTGCTGGAGTCTGGATGTGTTTTGCTCAAGTTCCAAGTTGGACTGATTTGTGTGCCTTTGGTGGAGCTCAAGTCACTCAATTCGGTCATTTCTCGCTGGCACATCCAGTCTCGTAGCTTCTTGCGTGCGGCGGTCCTCGCATGCCTCGGGCCGCCGGAATAAGGAATTCTTCTTCTTCATTTCTTTCAAAACCTTTCTATACGGTCGGTTGGGTAGAGTTCAGATTCAGATCACAATCCGAATAGAATCCTAAATGGATATGAATTAATATAGTAATACTGATGTATGGTTTGCTATAGTAGTGATAGATCGTTATCGATACAGGAGCTAATACCCTAGCCGCCGAAGATCATATTTCAGGCGAGAATCAAGAACTAGGGGCGTTGAGGCACCCACAGCTAGTTGTATTCTCATATTTCTGACATTCTGTTCGGATTGTGAAACTGTTAGACATCTTGGTAGAGACTGTATCTACAAGGATGCATGGAAGTTCGAATCAAGACTATGATGAGTCCTCTGATAAGAACGCTTCCAAAACGGAAAGGAATCAACTTCCTTCCTAGAGGCAATAATGCCAACAGCAGCAACAACGGTTTCATGAAGCATGAGCCGATGCTAAAAGCTCTATATTCAAGCTGACATTCACATCAATGAAGTTGATGACGAAGCTGTCGTGTCAAGTCATACATATGCCTCCAAGAGGAAGGCATAGATGAACTTCTGGCATTCAAAAAGGAGCAGTTTGCACACATTGGTTGTGGAACAAAACGAGAGATACAACATCAAAGATGTTGAATCTCCAAGCAACAAACGGTTGCTACCGCACTGAAAAGATGCAGAACGAGAAATCCAGGTTTTGAATCGCACTATCAACATACTCTGTTGTACTATGATTCGATTGAGTTATCAAGTTGCATCATCAAAGTTGATGACGACAGGTGATGAAACATATTGGGAAACATCCCAATTGTTGAAGACAGTAAACAAGTAGCTAGTCTAATATATGAACGTTCGTCAATCATTGGACAAGACGGTTCCAAACTTCAGAGAAGACTCAAAGCTAAGGCCAAAGCTCTTGATGAGCAAATAGGCAGCAAGTTCTGAAACGAATTTGTACGAGCATCGACTGCTCTTGAAGTGCAACTTGATACCGAAAGCTCAGACTGAGTATATAAACTCGTCTTGAAGAAAGCGGATCATGACAAATGCTTTCCTGAAAAGGAACATCATGATGGAAGTTTTCCTAAACAGGAAGGTGTATGAATCATTGATGTATGGTAATGGTATCAACAAGGAGCTCGCCTGACTCACATAATGCTACTATAAGTGTTCTGTATGACACTTAAGAACGCCGCTCTTATCTAATTGAGGCAGACGCAAAGAGCTTTCGTCACTGAAACGGCAAATAAAGGCTCGAACTTTGAACGCAAGTTCAGAGGGGGAATAGATAGTGACATCTATCAAAAAGCACCTATTGGTGCAGACCTTGCTCAAACAAGAGCAGGGACCTGTACATGACAACCAAACGGAAGAAAGTGTACCATATGTGGTACAAACTATCGCATTGAATATGAATGCGACAAGAGGCATGAATTCCAAGGATCAATTGTTCGATCAAAGCAAGCAAGTAGCATGACCACTCTGCTCTGCAAGTTGGCGATATAGAATCGCAACTCGGAACTAAACATGTGCATCATCAGGTTGGCAAAGCCAATAACGATGAATACATGACGAAGGAAGACTAAAGTTGAAGGAATTGACGCATGGACCAAAGTGGTACCAGGCGATATGACCTCAACAACGTCAAGACACTGTTGTTGAGACAAAAGATGAAGGTCCTCACTATGGATGACAATGATGTCAATCATGCATCCAATGCTCTAGAAGAAGAATGAGAAATAAAGCGACGCAACCAAAGCTGTCGCTACAATACCCGCCATGCTACTCACTAGATCTACTTAGATCTTGCAAGCCGAAAATGAGCTCAAGTATAACATAAACTGTACTTGGTGACTCTGATTTCAACTTTGCAAAGACATGTGCTGACCGGGATACTGAACCCAGGTCGTTACCTCAATAAATCATAGGATTAGGACCTATAAAAAATACTACAAACTAAACACTCTTCTGGATTCTTTCCCATTCTCCTGATCAGACGAAGCCTGTTGTAGGGCATCCTTTAAGAGGAGTTCTGGACTGGCATTTATTACCTTCATACTTTCTTGGTTTTGTTGCATGATCTCTTCGACAGAAAGTTTGCTGTCTTCCTCTTCTGCCACTTCGCCACTTCCAATGCGAACTAATAGTTTGTGCCTCAATACTTTAGCCACAATATCTCGAACCAGGCCTTCTTCAAGAGACTTTGCGGAAGAAAACCCGCCAGCCAACCATGACGAGAGAGACGATGTGCCACCTTTTGCGAATTCCTTTTCAATTTCCATGGCACAGGCAGAGCTGATATCTTTCAAAATGGTCTCGTCAAGTAATGAATCTATAATTTGCTTCAGTTCGGTGTTTTCTTCTTGGTTTTGCAACAATTCAGACCTGCACTCTTTTTCTTTCTTTGATGTGACATACAAATTGTGAGCAAGTACATATGCAATCGTCATTGCAAATACATTGTAGATAGAATGCTTGTGTTTCACAAGAGGGTCTACTAGGCGTCTATATATAGACTTCTTGAGTTCCTTTTCGAGCTTTGTGGCGTGTTTGTTCCGCACGAGTTCCATCTCTCGGTTCATCTGCAAGATTTGTTGTTGTGGATCAAGATAACGATCAGTTGCTTGTTTACTTTTTAGGTATTGTTGCTTTGCTTGTGCAGGCGAAGAAGAGGGAAGCGGACTCAACTTCTGACCGCTGCTTGCTTGCGAGGATCGATATCTCAGAAAGTATCGATACCTCAAGACAGTGTTTGCAGTTCTCGAGCTTGAAAGTAGCATCTTCGATTAATAAAAGGTGGTTACTGTTTTGGATGCAAGTGAGTAGACGACGTTTGACCACTTAGACTGAAATAGGAAAACGGTTGAAGAATCAAGAGTGAATGAATCAATCAATCAATCGATCGCACGAAGTCGAAGGTGATTGGATGAAGTGAACAGCTGCATTCTACTGTATGATACACCATCCAAGATGAAAGAGGATAAACCGTCAAGAAGGGAAGAAGATTCCATCCCCCCAGCTGACGATGATTCAACTAGCATATCAAGTGGAATGAACGAAGCTCTTGATTCGGAATCCATTGTCTTCAACCGGATGCCACTTCTCAACTACTTTAGAATTGGAGGCTCGTCAGTCCCTGGTGTCGATCCAGGGGCCACAATCAATGACACTGGAAACCAGGAAGATCAGATCTGCATGTGTTCAGCAATGGCACAGGTAATGGTGGAAACTTCTGGACTGGCGCCGTCAAGTTCGGAAGGTAAAAGGAGTGCCTCTTCAAACCTTGGAACTGGTGACAACGACCACCGTCATCTATTGAATTCAGATCTCTGGAAGCACCCGTATCATGTGATCGCCTTTGGTCTGAAGGATGGAAGCATCGAATTTCGTTCTGCGTATAGTGGAGCTTTGCTGATTAACGAGGAAAGATTCACTATTCCTGGCGTTCAATCTGATGTTCCTCCTCCAGTGGTTGACATCTCCTTTGATTCCACAGGAACAGCAATGGTTGCCATTGACCTTGATGGGAATGTTGCTATGTGGGAGATCAAGTACTCGGTATCCTTTCAACACCGGGGAACCCGAGACAGCCATCTTCTTCGATCATCAGAAGCTCCTCCAGTATCTCATGTCAATAGGAAGGAAGCGCAAAAGGAATCCGAAAGTTGTCTGTTTTCCCTTCCGACTTTGACCGTGGATTCTGTCTCTGTCTCCAGAAGTAGGTATCCAAATTCATGGGCGAAACCTACATGTATCACCATTGATCCAGCAAATAGACGGAGTAGAGAGAAGAGCTTCATCACTGGCTTCCAAGATGGGCGGTTGGTCCTCACTCGTCGTGGTGGACTGTTCCAGCGAAGGAATGATACGGTTGTCTATCATGGAACACCTGATGCATCTGAAAGTTTCATCAAATATCGAGGCATCGAATGTATTGCATGGAGAGGCTCGTTTGTGGCATGGGCTGATGCAAATGGTATCAAACTGCTGGATGTGCAATCATTGACAAGAATTGCGCACATTGATAGACCTAGTGGAGCCCGTCCATCATTGTACCCATCAATCTCATCACTGCAACCCTCCCTCGTTTTTGAGAGAAGTCATTCATTGCTGATTAGTTGGGGTGATTGTTTGATGGTGATCGAAATTGAGGACTCGAAGGAACCAGGCAGCGCAAACAAAAAGCGTAGTGTTGAGTGCTCTATGGCATGGGAATTGGATTGCGTCGCTTGTGGGGTTGCGCCATTGGACACTGATCACGTCCTTGTATTGGGTTTAGTCCCAGTAGAAGACGACGCAGAGAGTGTTACAGTGGCTGCCAGAGCGAACGATATCGATGTTCAGATTTTGTCACGAGCTGATGGGGCAGTAGTCTACTGTGATTCACTCCCTGTTCTTCAAAGATCAAATATTAGTTCTGCAGTTGGTGGAGACGTATCAAAATCGGGCACTTCTTTAAAACTGCTTTCTTCGTTCGCACTATCGAAGATGGAAGATTCGATCGAAGTGGAGGAACAAAAGCGATTCATTTCGAATGCAATGGGCGAGTTGGACACGTCGGTGCTCTTTGCACCAGATTTCGGCGAAGCTGGAAATCATGTTTTCCACGACGCTCATTTGCAATGGAATTTGATATCGGCCTATGAGGAAGAAGCAAACGTTACCTATTTTGACGGAGAGACGGACAGCGTTGATAGTGACGATTATGGATTCATTTTACGACCAGAGGCTGATCTTCTCGGCAGCAAACGCGAAAATGAAACGCCAACTGGTGCACCACCTGTCATGGTTATCGTCACACCGTCAGCCATGATTCGTTCGCAGACGTCCACAGTCGATGATGCAATTGCCCATGCATTGTCACGAAACATGAGTGCGCTTGCTCTAAAGCACGGTCTTCTCCACAAGCAGGAGATACGTCGATATCAAACTGTTGATTTGGTTGACAACTTCCTTCAATCTCTGTTACGCTTAAATAAAAAGTATCGCGGTGAAATGGATGCTCCTGTTCCAACTAGCTCACGGCCACTCTCTTTGCGCAGGATGCAGATTGCGCTGCGGTCGATGCCAAACCTCCTTGGAGACCGGGTTGCCAGGTGGGAAAAGTGGATTAAAAAGCTAGATGCTATCCCTGGAGTAATATTTCTTTTGCGGGAGAACCTTCCAGTACGAGGTAAGACTTTGTTTCGTGGTTCAAGCATTCTCAAGCAGTCGCAAGAAGTGCTCAAACACGGCCAATTTGCCGCGCTCAGATCCTGTCTTGCCACCGTTGGTGTATGAAAGGGTCTTAATAAAGATGTTTCGAGAGGTCGAAGACTTGATTCACGATGACACTGAGTCAAGGAAAGGGCTATTCCTACGTGAGGAAGCAGTTGACCATTTCTTAAACAGTTTGCTTTCGTGGGGTCCATCGAGTGCGCTCCAAGAATACATTGGGTTGTATAGTCCTAGAAACAGAAAATCCAGGGAGTGCCAGACACTAGAGATTGCGCTGCGTCGGAGACATTTCCAGTCTAGCAAAGGGTTTTTAAGTTTTCCTGCAACTACTTTGGAGACTGAATCGGATACAGCTACTTCCGAACCCCCTGAGAGATCGACGGAAGGAGCTAAGGAGTCGTTGTATTCGATCGTGAACGTCATGAAGATAATTGCAATTCATGCACCTATGCTTACAAAACGCGGCGAGTTCGAAAATGGGGTGCAGGAAAGTGAAGATAGCGACAGACGGATGAACAGCCTTCTTTCATTCGAAGCAATGGGTAGGTTCCGAGTCATGCAGCAGAGCTACCACGACGCTCTCCGGTGCTATTTAATGATTGGCTTTTGTCATGGAGATAGGTCGATCAACGAAATCGAACGGAGCGCCATTAGTGCAGCAAAAGAACCCCGTTCCATTAACTCACCGAGGGAGAAAAGATTCTTTGCCAAGTACGAATTTGTTTTGGATCTCATCGAGTATCATCACCTACACCGATATCTTCTTGATGAGAAGTTTTTCTCAGACGAATCTCCGCCACTATTTGCCTTGATTCAACTCGTTGGTTTGGATCGTGGAAGCCGTTTCTTGATGGAGCATTGCGTCGCTCCCGAGCTGCCCTCTCTCGAAGTAGAGTTTGAGGTCTCATCTATGAGCGGGACGAAAGACATGGTGCAGAAAGAGACTCTGCCACTAGACCTTGTTGCAAGACAGCTTGAACGTAGTCCACCCTTCTTATATTGGTACCTCAACATGATTTTCACCGAGAAGCCAGAGCTCTACGTGAGGTTTCCAAACAACTATATCCCTCCAAAAACCGTTACAGAGCTTCATCGAAAGCATCTTGACTTACACGTCAAATTCGCTGATGGCAACAAGTTCTCTGACCAAGCTTTATTGGGGGTTGAAAAATATGAAGTGAACACCTTTTCAACACCACTTTTATCATTCTTGAAGGTTCGTTTCCGAAGCAAATTGTCAAGATGCGCACTTTTTCTCTTCGTTCTTATTTCAAACCATCCCAGGCTGCCCTCCCAGTTGGCGGACTTTCCGCTTTGGAAGTAAGGAGATTGCTCGAATCTCATCGGTCAAAAGAAGCTGCAGGGAGTGACAAGTCGCTTTCGGCACAAAAGTCTAGTTGTTTTGCGCTCGAGTTGGCCTTCGTAATTGAACACTCCGGCGACCAATCAGCAACTGAAGCCAAGGGAATATTGGACCTATATTTAGATGGGGCAAACTCTCTGAACCTCGCAGTGTCATACGCACAGAGACAAAAGGATTATTCCAATCTTCTTTGGGATGAGCTGATCGGCTATTGCCTAGACAACGTATCCCAAAGAAGAGAAGGCGAGGGACTACTTTTCGGTGCACTGCTTGAGGCATCAGCAGTATATGGGGCTGATTTATCTCGCCTAGTTTCTAGAATACCAGCAGGGATGGTTGTTGAAGGATTGCGCCCACGTCTGGTTTCCGCAGTCGCAGACTACAGGTTGAAGCTAGACGTTCACGAAGCTGCATTGACGGTATCAGAAGAAGAAAAATCTTCGATGCAAAGGCAAGTAGCTCATCGCTCAAAGAGAGGAGTTCGATATTCTCCAATTTGGAATGCGAAAGGTACGAATGGTGGGAACAGTGATTCTGTAGCTGATCCTTCAAAGGAAGATCATTCGAAGGCGATTGCAATTACAAAACCAAAACTCCGACGCGACAGGTATCGCCTTTCGTACTCGTCACCAATGAGATAATTCTTGCTTGCATACGCGCTGAGTTAGTTGGTGAGCACAGTGTCTGTCACACCAGCTGGAGTTACTGGTCATAGATGTAGCGTGTAGCTCCTCTCTTGTTGCGTGCTAGTCTACTCTATAAGCTTTGCTCCTGGCTGTGGGCTATACTGACAGAAATAAATGAATATAGACTATAAGCCTATAGTTGACTAGTTTCTACAAGTTGATCGATATCAATTCAAGTAAAAAGCATGCAGTGAGAAAAGCTATGATCCATCACTTTTCCATGCGAATCCTATGATTTTTTAGAGAACTGCTGACTCAGTTCTTTTCTACGCTACATTAATGGCGTGTAACATATATTCCACGCAAAAATGAATACAAACGAAGCGATGAGAATCTTCGTAATGAAAAGATCGATCAAGATGAAATTGACGCTCTACTCGAAGAAGCAGAAGAATTTATTGAAAATTATGATGATGCACACGCCAAAAATGTTGAAGAACAGGCAGAAGACAGGAGTGTCGCAAGTATTTATGAACAATTGAGACGGAGAAACAATGATGATGATTCCGATCAAAATCCCAATCCAAATGACAAATATCAGAATGATGAGGATTTAAATGAAAAGATTCAAGAAATTGAAGAAGACATTAAAAAGACAAAGAAGATGTTGAATAATAATAATGACTGAAACATTAATCAATTAAATGCTATCGAGCGCATACGAATGCCAGTGGAATAAGCGGCTGTAAAGGTCAAGTACCGTGAAGCGACGAGTCAACAACTAGTTTGAACCATTGGAGGCATCTGGTGGACAGAAGTTGCTCTAGTCAGGATCGAAAGGATCCCAACTCTACCCGCGACAAGGCGGGGTGATTTCGGGGCGTTGATTCCTCGAAATGGGTTAAGGGGCCTGGGCCGGGTGGAAGAAGCGGTGAAGGATACGGCGTTGAGGCGCCAGAGCGCGGCGGTAGGCCGTGCGTTCCATTCTAACCAACTTCAGCCACTCTTCCCTATCGACCAGCGGCTTGTTCAATACTGTTCTGCGTTTCACGGCGAGCATGCGTTGGACTACCTTGGGGAGGTCGGTTGGGCCCATATCAAACTGAGAGTGTATATCATCGTTCACCAAGCGGCTACGTTCGCGTAACTGTACGTTGTCCTCCAAATGTTGCACCGAGTTCCGGTGTTCCCACGTATGAAATCCAAGCAAGATCAGCTGATGCGACAGACGAGAGACCCACAGGGTCGGAGAGCGTTGGCTCCCTCGTGACTGAAGGTACTGTTCCTGCAGGGCCGCCCACTGAACAGACAGCAAGCCTTCCAATAAACCTTGGTAGCCGATGCGTTGTTGGGAGAGGAAAGCGCTGCAAAGACGAGCCGGAACAACCTGACTGGAAGGTAGGGACGGATCACGGACCCCTTGAAGAAGATGAAGGATAGCGTGTTTGATGGCTGGGTCAGTGACTTGAGCGTCCAGCCATTGTATGGTTCTCACATTGCGTAGAAACACCTCCTACAAATTACGTAAGGGACATCTGGCTCACGCTTGTGATCATGAAAACTCAATTGTTTCATTCGACTGCTCTATCAAGTCCCGAGTGCAGAATTTGAACGAGGTTTCTCACGAATTGTTCAGGAACAAAACAACAAAATCACCAGTTTGTTATATCGGAAAGGCTGTATTTGAATATCTCCACCCATACTACGAATTTGTTAATGAGATTGAACCAAATACGAGATAATATATAGAGGAAGCTACTGTGTGAATTTCATTAGCATTGAAAACAAGAACAAAACAGAACTGGCAGGATCACTATGAGCCCAATTGAGGCGCAATTGGCAACCATCGCTTCCTGGGTTCTTGAACTACTCTCGTTTAACCAAAAAAGAGCGTCTTGATCAAACGACGGAGGAGCTGCAACTTCGTGAAGTCACACTCACCAAAGCCGAAATCAAGCAGAACAGCATCAACCACTTCTTCATGAAAGTCAAACTGAAACACCAGGCCGAAGAAGAGCG